CTCTTCTGTCTTCATTTCGTCCGTCTCATCTTTCTCACCCGAACCACCACCCACCCATTCCCACGATTCCTGAAAGCAGGCTGAAGAGGGCCTTCCGCCCTACCTTCCGGCATAGTCCGGAGGGATTGCCCGCCCACTAGCATTACTAGCTGGTGGGAATGAAACACCCACAAGTTTTTTTTTTCCTACTTAGGAACCAGTGTTCAGTAACGAGTAACCAGTCTACTTCTTGATAATTCGTAAGTGTTCTATATTGTTATTATTTGTTGTTGTTCTTATGTTGTTTTTGAGTGTTCAGTCTTATTAAACTTTTGTATATATTCTTCATTTGTGTTGTGTTTTGTCTTGTTACGTTCCTTTTGGTACAAAAATTATTAGTGCTTTTATTAAAGGCGCTAAAATCTTAATAATATTTACGAAATAAATCGCCAAAGTTTAGTAAAAATTGATAATATAGTAGACAAACAATGAAACAATAATTTTAAAACGATATTTCTACCTAATCAATTTATTTGACTTAATTTAATTATTGTTTTACTTCAGAACTTGCCAACCCGTTAATAATACGCAACCCTCCCGTGCTTTCTTTTTCAACACAATAGCAGAGGTATTTGCAGGATTAGTACAGTATGCAAGACCTGGTGAAATCGAAAGTGCTTGTTTCCAAATCGAAAATACGACAGGTTCTAATGCAGAAAAGTTGGCTTCCTATATCAGAACAGAATATATTGGTGAATGCATGGGATTATATGATGAGTTCTTACAAATGTACACATCTCCTAACATAACTTCCGATGAATGTAAGTACACTAAATAGGTTATGTTTACGGTTTCGAAACAAACCTACTGGAATTTCATTGACTAGGTCTCCTACGGTATTAGATTTTAGTTGTGGCTAAACGTCTGATGACGGAATTGCCTTTTCTAATAAAAAAATCTACCTTAAGCCATACCGGTATGGCCGCCAACTATTGATAGTACCGGACGTCTGATGTTTGTTGGATTTGGGCAAATTTCTGAAATTGAACGAAAATTCATATTTATAACAGGTAATTCCGCCAGCAGACCATTTCCGAGAAGTCTTTATCAAAACGTCCGTCCTTTAATTTCCAAACTATCAACTTAAAACAGTTTAAAATTTTCTGAATGCAGTGCATCGTTTAGTAAGTATCTTTGGTGAAAAGCAAGCATAACGATAAGCGAAAACTGTAATAAAAGTAATTTATGGGAATAACTTTTTAGTATTTGTCTCCTCTTGCCACTTATAAAAAATTATTGAAGGGAATTTTTGATAGCTACATATCTCGCATCACAAAAAAAAGACAATTTTGGACATACTCTTTTAGTTACTGAACAGGTGATTAGGCTGAGATTGAAAAACGGCTTGCCGTCTAAGCGAATAAAACCAAAAAAGACAAGCAGGTGGAAGGAATACTTAGAGAACCTATACACAGGCCATGAGGTATGACTAATAGGTACCTAATCGCTACACGTACAAAGGACCTGTCTGGGTACCAGCTTTTGTAGTAGGTATAAGTGTTTCGTCCCTTGATGCTTGCAATAACGAAGGGCAATAAGATAACATAGCTGTCAAACCGGCAACTGTTCCAATCATTAACGGGCTCGTTAACCGTGGTACTTTTCGTGCATAATTTTTATTGCGGCACAATCACGAGATGTACTCTATACTGCCTCCAGATGTTACCTTTCAAATATTCCGGGATACTGTACTATACATATATATATCGGGTTGTTCGGAAAGTCATTTCGTTTTTTTTTTGTGGAAATGAAAGACAGTTTTCGTATAATAAACAAATACTTTATTAAATTATATATTGACCGTTCTGGTCCAACACATTTTGCCATCTTTCTGGTAGTAGCATAAATCCACGCTCATAAAATTTTTGGTCTTTACCGGCAAAAAACTGATCGAGGAGGTTTTTGACCTCCTCATTTGAGGTGAAGGTTTTACCGTCTAAAAAATTTTGGAGTGACTGGAACAAATAATAATCCGATGGTGCCAGGTCTGGAGAATATTTTTGGAATAGCATTGTATCCCATTCAAGCTGTAAAAGCTTTTGGCGAGTGACCAAACTTGTGTGAGGTCTAGCGTTGTCTTGGTGAAACACTACACCTTTCCTGTTGATTAGTTCTGACCTTTTCTGTTGAAGTGCATCATTCAGTTTGTCCAGCTGATGACAGTAGACTTCCGAATTAATCGTTGTGTTATCCGGTAAAAGCTCAAAAAAAGCGATTCCTTTAAAATCTCACCAAACAGACAGCATCACCTTTTTTTGGTGAATATCGGGTTTGGAAATGGTTTGAGCCGGTTCATCTTTTTTGCTCCATGACCTCTTGTGTTTGACGTTTTTGTATACAACCCATTTTTCGTCCCCATCGAGCTTCGAGGATAATCCCAGGCCTTTCAAGTGGTCATAAACTGTTGAATTTAATAAATTTAACCTCAATCCCATCTCACGTGTTGTTATTCGCCGGTTCACATCAACTAATGCCTTTATCGCGTCTTTATCAGCTTCAACCGTCCTTCCCGAACGTGATGCATCTTCGACATCAAAATTGCCGGATCGAAATTTAGCGAACCAGTTCTGGCACTGACGTACTGTCAACACACCTTCTCCATACACGTCAGTCAATTTCTTTCTGGCTTGAACAGCATTTTTACCCTTTCTGTAGTAAAACAGTAAGATATGTCGAAAATGCTGCTTATCGCTCTCCATATTTAAAAGGGCACCAACCAAAAACTACTGCGTAGAATTAATTGGAATTTTTCACACACAAGCCTTGCTATATGAGCTCTCAAAGCATATAAAAATTATACGGCTTAAATGTGAAGTTGGGTGCAAAAGAATACAATTAAATCCTCTGTCGGGAAAAAACGAAATGACTTTCCGAACAACCCTATATCCTATAATATATTATATAAGTACAAGATAATAACTTTTTACAGACCGCCAGTGGTACTATCAAATTTGCACAGAATATGGCTGGTTTCAAACGTCAACGTCCAATAACCAACCTTTTGGTAGTACATTTCCTTTAGAACTGTATAATCAAGTCTGCAAAGATTTATTCGGAGTGGAGTAAGTACGAGAATATACGAAATAAATAATTGGAAGTAGATTAAGATAAAAAAGTCCTTGGATTGATTCACACTACATCGATATAGCTCTATGTATATGTACTTCACATTTATCAGACATCCTAAGGAATAGTGTAACGTACAATACAAAGGTTTTATATTACAATCGGTCAATATTTAATAGTTATGGATTAATGGAATATCATAAAACCAAAGAATCGGTGATCGCGTGTTTTTCACAAAATGTTAAATTTAATAAAACGACTGTTTGCTTATTTACTTTTGGTACCTTTTTGTTATTTACTAGACAATTTAGTATAAAAGTATAGAAAACGCAAAATTGGCTGTGCGATGAGCGACTGTTTGATGGTGGTGACTGTACATCAATATCGGTATTGTCGGTTGTCAAACATAAAGCGTATCCACATCTCACTACGTAGCGATTTGCCATGTAGTTGGTTGCACTTTTATTAAGCCGCTGAAGACAGTATCGATGTAGATGAGAGCCAGGTAAATTTTAACTTCGTAGGAGCCGCTACGTGAGGTTAGTTTGAGTCACTCCATACCCTTCAATGAGTACGAGGGAGTAAGCAGTAATGAACCATATTGCGTTCTCTTTTTCTTCTCCCTTCCACTCCCATATCAAGCCCCTTCATCTCGTAGACGAGCGAAGCCTCTCTCGTAACTTAAATAATACCTACGAAAATTTTCGTTCGCAATACTATTGAGTTTGGTTATGGAAGAGGGGACTCAGCTACGAAATGGAAGGGAAACGAAAAGGAAAGAACCATCTCACTCGCACTCGCAGGATCAATGAGGAGCTCCTTGGCTATACCTGAGGAGCACTCGAGAGTCAAAAGAGCCGAGTTTGCCCGGCTCTGATTGTAGATGTAGCTAGAGAGTTACTCTCGGATTGTTTTGATTAACGTGGTGATTCCTACGTAGTCGTTTACCTCACACTGTTGAGGGAAGGGATACCTTCAATCGACGCACCATGACCGAAGCACTGCTACTTGTTTCTCCTAGGAGGTGAACAAGGCCCCCCTCGAACCTAGTATAGGTAGAGAGTACTAACTAATCCCAACTAAGCTAAATAGGCTTAGTACCCAGGCAGATATAAAAAGTTCACCCGTTGAAGTGTCTACTCTCTCCCGCTACAAGTCACTAAGAGTCCAAGCTCAGACGGCCAATCAGGCTGGAGGATTTTTCAAACCTGGAGTTCTCGAGCTTTCTGTAGTATCAGTCTTCATCACTGGAAAAGATGTTCTAAAGGTGAACCCCCCTACTCAGTCCATTTACTTGAATTAAGGCATTGGTAAGCCATCTCGATTTCATGGAGTCGCCACTTTCTCTTGTCCCGACCCCTTTGATAACTGTAATGGGCGATACTATTTTCGCTTACCTCTGCCACACTTTTTTTACTACTGAGGTTCCGCCCATTCTCCACGTTTAGTTGGATCGGTTGCTGGTAACCTCAGTTTTAGAGGTAAATGTCGTGAGATCTGCCTACAGCGACTGCCGCGGATGGTTGTATTTTTGTTTTTGGGTGTTTCATTCCCATCAGCCAGTAATGGAGGTAGGACGGAAGGCCCTCTTCAGCCTCCTTTAAAGAATGCTGGGAATGGGTGGGTGGTTGTTCGGGTGAGAAAGATGAAACAGAAGAAATGAAATATTATCTATGGAATATTCTTGCCCCAGCATTTGCTTAAGTGATTCAAGGAAACCACAAAAAAACTTGAACCAAGGCAGACGGACCCAGAGTCGAACTGGCGTCTTCTTGAATGCTAAGCAATGATATGCCGCTCGATATGATTGTATGCAGTTCACATGGATCATTTGGACTACAAGCTACTGTATAGTTCTTTCCAGCTACTTGAACCAGTCACTTGTTTTCTTTTGTCTGAGTATCGTTTGAACCAGGACGGTTTTGACCTAACTTCGAATAAACGAAAGATTTTTTATGGAAATCGTTTATTTGAATTAAATTCAATAAATCAAGTTCAACACTGCTGTATAAGCGCTGCTAAATCCAAGTTGATTTTTAAATCATATTTTACAATCGTTTCCAACTCGTCCTTTTAAGAACTGCAAGAATTCTGTTTTTTTACCTTGATAAAGACACTGTTCCAAATATTTTCACAGAGAATAATAATAATAATAGAAAGACAGATACAAAAGAATTCGAGTAGAAATATTTACAAAAGGGTGCAATATAATGTTTAGTCAAATATATGTTTAAAATTAAATATAGCGGTGTTATTATCCGCCACACTATATAATTTCTTCTGTTAACTGCACAATTCAGAGAGAAAAACGATCCTGAAAACAATTTTTGCCGTGTGAACACACGGCACGTGTGAATACTTCTATACACTTGCTTGTCTCACTGTTGCCGTGCACGGCCACGGCGCCGTGCCGTTGCAGTCCCCATGCCGTGCTGCGACGGCAGCCGTGCACGGCTACGGCAGCAAACCGTGCTGTGTGAACGCTTGCATATAAACCAATGTATTACTATTATACACGGCACGGTTGCCGTGCACGGCCACGGCAAAAAACCGTCTGTGTGAAAGCAGGGTAACAGTAAATACGCCATGAAAAAGAAAACGCGTTCTACAAAAACGTTTCTACATACAGCGTTACCTGCTGGTGGTGATAATGTTTTGAATTTTTATTTCGAATATTTAAATTTACCAAAAGCCGTACCTGGCATAAACAATAATTAGGTAATGAAAAGTGGCATGCCAGCAGCTGTATAAAATATTGTTTAAAGGGCATGCACCGTGCATTAGATATCCCTTTGTAGTTTCTGCTCCTATCTATACTCTCCATTGGTTTACATTAACTTTTTTACCATAAACAAAGTTTTTCACTCATTTCCAATTACCACAAGTAAATTTTTGAAAAAGAAACAACCGTTTCGCCTTTATGAGTGTGGATAGTATCGCGAGGCAGACAAAAAAGCAAAACATTTGTCCGTTTTTTCAAAAATTTGCTAAAGGTTATTTGGGAAAAACCTTATTTTTTTTTTTATTTATTTACTTACCACGCCTTCCTTTTTTATTATTCACCGCTGACACGACGTCAAAAAATCTAATACTTTTTCTTATAAATCTGGCTACTACTTGGAACTCTAAATTAAATCTTTAAATTAAGAAAAATTCACACAAAAAATTGTAATGTTTCGAATTAAAGAATATTGAAAACACCAACAACGACACTCTGCTGAGCTTGAAATTTGATAAACTTCTTTAATAGATACGAAACTTGTAACAAACTTTTACAATATACTACTCTATCTAATTTAGATATGATGAAGAAGTATTAAGTGTTGGTGTGGAAAGAACAAATGCTTTATATGGAGCTGATACTCCAGAAATATCTCGACTCATTTCAGTACATGGTAGCGTTGATCCTTGGCATCCGATGGGAGTCTTGCGAGATCTTCATTCTACGGCACTTTCATTTTTGGTTCAAGGTAGATCAATAATATCATAAGACAATCGTTAAGCTCTGTACTTGCTTATTTTTCAAGACAAACTGACTTGCTCATGTAATTCTGCGTTTCCATTTTTGCAATCAGATTACCGATATACTCATTATAATTCATTATTCTTCATTTCATTCCAAATCATGCTTTCTTTAATGGGTTATGTTACAATTATTTTGAAATATGTTTATTACTTTACTGAAATTTTTAAACATTTATAGCTTTATGATTTCATCTCTAAAAATACAATAGCTAGCCCATAAACATAAAGAATAGAGAGCGCATTCTCTATCTAGCTATAAATTAAGTATAGGGTGAAACGTGTAAGAGAGACAAAAGGGGTCGTACAGCCAGAAGTTGCCTTTTTTCTAAAATTTTGATTGGTCTGTATCACAGAATTGCAAGAGCGGAAGAATGAGGTAAATAAAGAGAGACAGAGACTGGTATTTCCCCCTTTCTGGAGAATGGTTATAGTGCCCCACATCTATCAAAGATTTAACGTTTTATTAATAACAGGAAAAGGTCAGGCAATTTGGTATTTGTATTTTTGATAAGTAGGTATGTAGGTTTTCTTGACCGGAATCCATAGTAGAAGTATGATTAGGGCTGAAGGGCCGTGGTCCAAATGAACTGTTAGATTCAAACGTTTCGTCGGCGATTGCGGCTGACATCTTAATATTTTCTAGATTGTTTAGTTTTTGGCTTTTGGGGTTTAATGTAATTTTATCATTGTTTCTTCTATGGATCCTGGGTTGTGTAGATTTTTTAATCACTTTTTCCTTACCTATAATCTATATATATCTTTGAACAAATTAGAAAAGTGAAACGATTCCTTCAAGAAGAAGTAACAAAGACATCAAAACGGCGATTCTTTTGAATGTGTCATGTGTCACCTGCTTGACCAACTTTCCAGCCATTATTGCTGTTTTTCTTTCCATTTTGTATTCATTTTCCTTGTCTTCTGTTACTATTAAATAAACCTCTTATTTGACTCATTAATAAACGTAACTGATGACGTAACATCTTTTTTTGTTTTCACCATCTTAATTAATAACGCCTTCATTAAATCGAACACTTCAGTATATAAGAAACTAACATATGAAATGGGTAATTCTAATCGAATAAATTGTATTCCTTGTTGTTCAATATTTTTTTAAAATTTAGGTTCTTCTCACTGTGCCGATCTCAGGTCCGCATCAAATAGTGATTCAGAACAAATCAGACAAACAAAACTCACAATTCGGACAACAATAGCGAGATGGTTGGACGAAATAAAATATGGTACATCATCTGGAAATAGTTTACGAACAAGTGTAATAACTATTATGGCTACTGTAATTTGTTTCATTTATAATTTCTAATTTCTTACATTCATGTAAAATGAAGTGGATTTGCCTAGTACATGCAATTGTGCAGTCAATAAAATTAATTGAAATTAAGGAAGTTTTAAACTCTTTTGTAGTATTTTCTAAAACGCACTGTTAAGATAGCAGGTAAGAGTTGGTCAGTGTTCTGTCGGAGCTGCCTGCGACGCTCTGATGAGATCCAAAAAGAAATCGCGATCCGCGTCTGACAGTTTCGACAGAAGACAGACCACTTCGAATTATTTCATTCGATTAAGCTAACGTGCCTATCACGTTGAGGTTGGCTACGCCGGGATTCGTTTTCAGCAAGTAAATATCCACACAAGTGGACCTTGTTGGAGCATAGGTAATCCTAAAATGTAGCATCGTGCTACAGATGGCGTTTACTGCGCCATTTGTAGTATTTTCTAAAAC